ATATCTCTCTCTCTCTCTCTCTCTCTCTCTCTCTATATATATATATATATATATATATATATATGTATATATATATATATATATAAAATGTATATATATATATACATACATATATATATATACATATATACATATATATATGATACGTATGTGTGTATATGTATGTATATCTCCTACTGGTTCTGTTTCTCCTGAGAATTCTATCCTAATGGATATAATATCTCTGCTCAAGAGGTAGATTTCTGACTAGCTAAGCTAATTTGCACACATGACCACCACGGCCCCTATAATTTGTTCTAAGATTGGCATGTGTCACACCTCTGGCCAATAAGATACAAGAGATATTTCCTAGGGACTTGGGGAAAGAAAATTCTTTTCTTCCATTGAGCCATGGGAAGAAAAATGTTTTTCAGACTCTCACTTGATATGAAAAAGCACATAGCTCTGATCATTGCCAGCAGATATCTTGGCCCAAAGAAGGGAGAGGGTAGCAGCCAATTTGGCCAAAACTCTACAAAGCAGAGAGAAAGACTAACCATGCCATTAGATTGAACCTCACCTAAAATCCAACTTGTCTCTGAACTTTTGAGTTATATGAGCTCATAAATTACCTTTGTTATTTAAAACCAGTTTGAGTTGTTTTTTTTTTTACTTGCAATGGAAAATGTAACTATTATAGCTATCATGCTTCTCAGGTGTTCATTTCTCTAAGTCATACAACTCTTGTTTCTTCTGCTGTTCTCTATGCAAAAAGTCTTTCACCATGCAAGATGCTCTTTTCTGAATGTGTCCCAGTTTGCCTATGTCCCTAGATCTGAACTCAATAATGATCAGCACAGAATAAAGTTAATTCTTTCCTCTTTTGTTCTAGTTATTATATTAATACAGCTCAAGATCAAAATAGTTTTAGAATTTGTTTCACACTGTTGACTTATACTATCTAATACCATTGTACACCACTGCTAAGCCTGTTTCCTCCACACTGTACTTGTGCAGTTTTGTTTTGTTAATTATTGTAGGTCTAGTAAAATCTCTAACCTACATATTTTCTACAACCCTTTAGGATCCGGGTATTATCTTGAACCATAGAAATCTTCTTTACACTGCAGCAAAAGCCTCAAACAAATCACTACTGCCCAGTCTTAATTCCTTAGCATTAGAGCTATATCCTGCTTAAAGCTAATAATATAATTGTAAAATAAAAATAATATCTTATAGGAGATGTTTGCATTCTTGGACACCCTCAAACATAACTGTTTAACACTAACATTCAGATAGTTTTAGGCATGACAAAGAGTAAGTAACAAAAATATAACCCTCACCATAATCATATACAAGTATGAGAATATCATATGGGGAAAAAAAAGTAACCATGAGACAACACCACAAAGTAAATCATGTGTTTAAGGCAGAGTCTTCTGATGCTATATCAGTTATAGAATTAGATTATTATATCAGTTTCTAGAATTAGATTATTCTCACAGTAAAAAAAGACATCTAAAAGTATACCAACAAACTGTTGAAAACTTAGCCT